AAATTCAAGGTAAATTAATAATGCTTGAATTGAATTAAACTCAAGGTAAATGTTGTGATATCCTGTCCTACAATCCCCCAAGTATCCTTGAAAAACCCTCTCCATAAAAAGGCATTAATCTTTATAGGCAGCCCTTTAGTCCATTTATAGTCAAAGATCTGTAGTTTCTCCTGTTTCTGTCTTAATTCATTCCATGCTGATTTGACTGTGGACTTTCCATTTGAATTTCCCATCCACCATGATGTGTCATTATCTACATTGACTAGTTGTGGGCTGATGTTATCAAGTATATGCTCCGTTAAGTCCATAAACTGCTTGCTTGACTTCTTCTAGGTCTTTGAAGTTGTTCTTATTTGATAGATGAAATGACATAACAAACATTCATGAACATAACAAAACACATCGGTAGTTAATTCAATTTCAGCTTTAGTTAATTTTTATTGAAACTTTACTTGTTACGTAAATTTCTAACCTTATTTGACTTGAATGTTTTTGTTACTTAGATGGCAGGTGGTAATAAGAATAAAAATATTGATAATGCCCCCAAAAAGGAAAAAAAAGAAGGATGGTATGATTAGTAGACGACCGACAGGGATACGTATAAGATCAGACTCCACAAATTCTCTCACATCAAGAGACACTCCGATACATTGCTATTCTAAGCAGGCCGGGCCTTATAGTCGGGTGCCTCCACATATTAATCCTCCGTCGACCTATATGTATCCACCATTGGAATATACTCAGCCGCCCCCCCACGTAGTTGTGCCCACATCAGGGTATGCTACCCCACATGGATACAGTGTTTTGCCTCCAGAGGCTAACCGACCAACATCTAGTGACTCTCGCACAGTTACTCACAACCCTATAGACTCACAACCTTCATCATCATCTACTTCAAAACTTGGGATGTCGAGTCTTCGCCTTCAAGGTAATGATTCGGAGCCTAACACTCCTTCCACAAATCAGTCAGCTACACCTGGTCGGGTCCTTACACAAGTTGGCGTGAGAGATATGCACAATAGACTTGTCATCGAGCCTGACGGCTATACGTAAGATTTTATTTTTTACAAAATATCCTATGTTTATGATTGTCTCATTTAATTGTCTTTGTTTTAACATGTAACTGTTAAAATTTTGAATTACAGTTTCAATCCAGATGATGCTGTGGGGATCATTTCTCAAGCAATCAAAGATCTCTATAGAGATGCTTTTCCGACTTGGGGAAAGATGCCAAGCAATCTCAAGAGACAAATTTTTTTGGAGTTTAGAGTATATTAAAATTTATTGCTTTATCACTATTTAAATACTTGTCTTCAATGATACTTATTAATTGAAAATTTTATGGTTTCATTGCAGAAAAAATGTGCTTGGCGTCCGGAACATGAGACCAAAATTTGTGCAAACTTTCACAAGAAAGCTGCATGTGTTCTCGCTAGTTTGTTGATGAAAGCTCGTAAAAAGAATAAGAATCCTCGGTGGATTCTACCGGAGGATTGGAAAAAATTACTTGTGCATTGGGCGAATGATCCAAGATTTAAGCAGATGAGTGAGATCGGTAAGTAGGCTAGATCATCTACTAAGGGTGGTTCTCTACACACAAGTGGGGCTCAAAGTCAAGGAAGTGTGAGGAGGAAATTGGTATGAATCATTTTTCTTAATTTTTTTTAAATATATTTTAGGTATTAAAATTTAATTACTCTTGATTATAACTTAATTAGTTTTATATGTAGGAAAAACTCAGGCTGAGGCATTCAAGGCAACACACATAAGAAAGAAGAAAAATCCCGAAGATCCAGATGTGTGGGTTGAGCCACGAGCTGAAATGACCTATGTAAGCCTCTAATTTAAAATAATAGTTACTTATTTTCTAATATTAATACCATTCAATTTAGAATCGATATATTCAAGCTTTTGAGGATTTACGACAAACTCAGCCATAAGAAAATCGAGGTATGCCACTTACTCAAGAACATGCTGAGAGAATGTAGTTAGACTTGATTGGTGGGCCGGGTAGATATGGGTATGCCTATGGCATACCGCAACATACCTTTCGTGAATATCATGTGGCTAGACTTGATTGGTGGGCCGAGTAGATATGGATACGCCTATGGCATGCCTCAACAGACCTTTCGTGAATATCATTCTGAGTTTGAAGGCTTAAGTAGTTCCTACGATGATGAATCGATGAAGAAAAATTTGGCTATGGAGCAAAAGATAGCTGAGCTATCTAGCCAAGTCAAAGACTCGTGGGCTAGGGAAAGGCGCAGGGACATAGAGTATGAGGGTCTTAAGGCTCAATTAGATGCATTACTTGCTTCAGGAGGGATTCCCCCTTGTTCCAATGATGTCACTTTCCCTCCTCAACCCTCTCAGTCTCAACCTACTCGATATCCAGTGTATGGTCAACAAAGAAATATGACAGATGAGTCTAGTAGTGATGAAGAAGATGAGGATCATGTGGCAAACACACTACCGCATTAGTGAAGTTTAGAGTTGTAATAGATAATCTAAGTTCTTTACTTTATGACTTTTTTATGGGACTTATTTGTTTTGTGAATGCATGATAACATTGAAATCCTATTATATAACTTATGGATTTTATGGTTTTTCTTTCAATTTCGAATTACGTTGAAGGTGACTTGCATATTGTGTTGATAAGAGAATATTTAGTAAATGTATTGTATCAGTTGATTGTTGAAAGCTTGATTTAGCTAATTAGAAATGTATTGAATTAATATGACAGGTGACGAGCAGCTGCAAAAACAGATACAAGCTGCCAGTTTTTTTCTAGGAAAAGAGACCTCATGAGGTCACTTTTTTACATTTTATTTTTAAGAAATTTCATAAAAGAGACCTCATGAGGTCTCTTTCTGGCAGTTTACTTTTTTAGAAATGCAGTAAAGAGACTTCACGAGGTCTTTTTCCTGTAGTTTATATTTTAGAAATGCAGTAAAGAAGGTCATATAGCGGCCTCGTGAGGTCGCTTTTTGAATTTGTTTTATTTCTTTCATAAAAGAGACCTCATGAGGTCGCTTTTTATTTTTTATGTTTTAATTAAATCACCTCATAAGGTCTCCATTTAGAAATTTAAAAAAATTCTATAAAGAAATGGACCTCATTTCTCATGCCATTGTTTTGGAGCTTGCTTAAGGCCATAAAGAGATTTCATTAATTTACAAACTTTATTTTCTTGTCCGGGGATAATATATCCCTCAGGTTGAACCATATAAATTAAAATTAAAATAAATAATATAATAGTGACCTCATGAGGCCACGTTTATTAAAATTAAAACAAAAGTAAATTATAAAATTGCGACCTAATGAGGTCTCTTTTTTTTTAAAATTCGGAAAATTTATTGGCGGCCTCATGAGGTCTCTATTTGGCGACCTCATGAGGTCTCTACACAAAAGTCACCTACATTATAGCGACCTACCGTTGAGGTCTCTTTTTGGTCTCTTTTTAAGTCTCTTTTTGCAGTTTTTTTAGTAGTGATCTTGGCCCTTTTAAAAAAGTTTCCACTTTCTCATGATGAGAAATAAGTTCATCATCATCCATGGAGGTGACATCAACTTTATTAGGATTCTTCTCAGTTAATACATAAGAAACATTGAGAAGACTTAAGTAGAAAAGTATTTTACCCTTCCATCTTTTGAAATGGTTATCATTGAACCGAAATGACTTGTTAAGGTTTCCCATCTTGACATCCGCGTTTTTTCAATTGTAGCCATGGTGAATCTCCTTAAAATTGTTAGTGAAAAATTACAAAATAATAAAATTGCAAGATTACAATTGAAAAATAAAATGAAGAAACAAAAAATCTCTTCAAGCTGAGGCGCGGATATCTCGCTCTCTTTAAGGAGATTCAAGCCCACTGCAACAAATGTTTTTCACCGGTCCAGCAGTAGTCTTCTTTGACTTGTCCCCTCCAGGATACAACAACCTTCACAAAGTATAACTCAACAACTCTGGACAAGAGTTGAGTCCAAAGCTCCACAACAAAGAACACCTCCCTTCAACTAATAAGAACTCTCTTTTTGACTAACTTTATGCACTTTATATTTTCCTTGTGTGTTGGATATAACAAACCAAATGAATACCACCACTATTTATACTAGAAGAAGTCTTCCTAGAAATAAATAGGAAGATAATGAAGAGGTAAATAGTGAAGATAATGACCTTAAGAGTTACATAGGTTATAAGAATAATGGAGGAATAATTTGGAAAAGTAATTGTGTGGGCAACAAATGCACCAACGTGCAAATGCAAAACTGCCCAAGATGTCGACCACAACTGGAACGTTATAGGATATATGACATCTGCCAATGAAGCCAAGAATAATTGGCATTAACATGACCAAAAAAATGGTTAGGCAGCATTAAGTCACAAATAAAAAGCTACTTTAATATAAAATAATATTAAAATGCTTAATAACCAACAAATTCAATTAGCAACGTAAGCAACTATGTAATTAACACTTCTTAATGTCCTCATTTTTTTCTTAATTTATTTAATTTGTATTGATTTAAGATTAAACCTAAATACTACTCTATAGAGTCAAAGACATCTCATATTTGTAGTTGACCATGTTTATGAGTTAACTAGTCAAATAATCAAGCTTCTAGTAATAATTCTTATTAGTTAATTAATTAATTAAGAGATTAATCTAGCCAACTAGGTTTCTTTAAACTAATTAACAAACATTGTTAAATCTAATTGAACCTTTTTAAGTTTAAGGTACATGAACTTTGTTAATTTGCTTCTCACACGTAAGCTATTTGCTCATAATTCAAAAAAGCAAAAAGCAAAAATAGTTCAAACAATATATGTCAAAACCAATACATTTTATATATATTTCGTAAACTATTTGGTCGAAGTATTTAGGATCGTAAATTGTAATTATCCGTTTTTATGATCTTCAAGTTGAAAGTCAACAAATTAAACTATGTCATCGATCTTTTGATATTGCAAAAAAATCAATGTGTTGGAATGTTGAGTACGTTCAACAACTTGTATAGAGTCTGTTTCAGTCATACAACTTTGACGGACGATTAAAATCTTGAAGAAGACAAGTTAACAATATAATTATTACCATCTACTTGTACTTGCAATATTACAAATAATGACTAAAAAATGAAGAAAATTGTTGTATGCTTTCTAACATTTGATGATGTTTAATGTTATTAATTATGACTCTTAAATTTTTTTGACAAAACTCAAACTCAAACATTGTTGTTGAGTTAATTTAATTCTCTAAATAGGACCAAATGTCTTCAATGTTGCACAAATTATCCATCCATAATTCTTTATTATTTTGTTGATCCATTGCTTGGTAATCTTCAAACCATAATTGATCACTTTGATTAACTTGATAATAATCTTGATTAGGTGAAACTTGTGTGCCAATTGAGTTTTCTGATGAAGTTACCACGCTAGAATTCTCCGGTTTAACACTCGTGATTAAAATACTATTATTGTTGTTGTTCGTCAGTTGAATTGGAATGAGCTCAGTAATACCTGTTCTCAGAACGGGTTGTTGAGTTTCACTACTAGCATTATTATTGGAAATTTTGGATGCTTGAATTCTCTCAACTAGTCTTGGAATCCAAAGATAACGTAATGTGTCTTGGAATTGTTTGCTATTGACATCACATTTTAGTTGTTTTGCATGTTTTTGGACTCGGGTTCTCCAGTAATTTTTTATCTCGTTATCTGTTCTTCCTGGCAAATGTTGCGCGATTTTTGACCACCTACACACCCAAAAAAAAGGGAATAATAAACTCGTTATTAGTTGAATAGGAAAGTACTATATGATCAATAGACATTACGTTATCATGTTGTCTTGTCTTGTAATATAACTATAGCAATCTTTTCATAAAAAGGTGATATTCCTTATGTTTTAATCTATATGATATAATTTAATAGTGTAAAAATTCTTTACGTCATCTATTAACAAATTAAACCATGGACCTCTTCTAAGCTCCATTATTTCTTCATCAATATTGTTTTCTTGATTAATTAATTTATCCATCAAAATTATTTGTTTTTTTTTATTTTTTGCTGTAAAAATAGACACAAAAATTTCAGTGTTGTAGATAGAGAAAGACAGATATTTAGAGAGAGAAAGAAGTGTAGTGAAGATATATTTATTGAAGTGGTAGTGCTTTATATAGTGTGAGGAAAATAAAGAAAACACTTATTATTAATTCCTATTTTTTTTATTATAAAGTCTAATTGAAGCTTTATTATATTTTATTATATATACTTAATTAAACTCGTTTTGCACCTTTTGAGTTTGACTAAATCACTATATAATATATAAAATAATAAATTAGTTCCGCGGAAATCAATATTTAGATTTTTTTTTGATTGATTTCCACTACCCACCATATAGCAAGTTGTCATGGGACTATTTGACGTTTTAACTTTAGTATTTTAGCATAAAATACTGATTTAGGAGATTTACAATTTTTCTCTTAATGAAAAAGGATTTTATAGGTATCACAATTGAGCATAAATACTAATTTAAGAGATTTACGAAAAAAAATTAGACGAAAGAAGATTTTGTAAGAATCACGATTGATCATAAAATATTAATTCAAGAGATTTACGAATTTTTTTGGATGAAAGTGGATTTCTATAGGAATCACGATAGATATAGTAATGGATAGAAATTATCATAAAATGAATGAAATCCATAGTTTTTACAACCTAGATGTTTTATTGGAGATGTATAGTGTTTTTCTTTGCAAATCGTAATTGTTATATTTTATGGTGACAAAAAATAATTTACGTTTTCAATAGACATTATAGTTTGTTTATATGTAATAGATTAGATTTAGAAAGAGGATGATAGTTTGTTTATGAATTTGACACGATAGCTATTTAATTTCCACATATTATAGTGTTGTTTGATTGATTAATTGTGTCATTTTGCACTAAGCAAAGTACCTATAAGTCTATAATATAGGTTGTTGACTTATTAGTTAATAAAATAATTATATTTTGATTTGATTGCTTTTTTGTTATTCCCAATGTTTGATGTACATTTTGGGACCGTTTAATTTGTTCAATATCTTCCTTTTTAATGTGCGGAAATGCTGAGTATAGCTATACATAAGTATATTTTTGTAATATGATTCTTTTTTTGAATTTCACGCATGAGTTTAATGCATTAACCTAATTTTATCTTTTTTATGCTCTTTCTCAATCAAAATTCGTTGTTCTTTTGTTATTCTAATGTTTGATGTACATTTTGGAACCTTTTAATTTGTTCAATATCCTTTTTTATAATGTGCGAAATTGCAGAGTATGACTATATATAGTATATCTTTATAATATGATTCTTTTTTGAATTCTACACACGAGTTTAGTGCATTGAATAACTTTGTCTTTTTTATGCCCTTTGCTCAATCAAAATCCACCATCTAGAAGTATTATGAGGGACATTTAGTTTCCTTTTCTTTTATAGTTTTAAAAAAAAGGAAGAGTAAGGTTCAAGTCGAAAAATTAACGACCTTACTTGAACAAGATCTGTTCTATAGGCTCATACCATTGTATCCTTGATTTCTAAGGAGACAGGAAACCAAGTCTGGTGGATGACTTATGGCCAATAGACCAGAGTGTGATTAATAGCCTCCATGGCCCTCGGGTCATGGTGCCCCATAGATAAAATTAAAAAAATAAGTCAAAAAATTAATACTTACAATATAAGTACATATTTTTACGCTATAATGATATCGTGATTAAAAACGAAGCTAAAAGGATAAAAGAGGGTTCATTCGAATCTCTTCGATCGAAAAAGTCACATGATGAAGCAAACTATATTACAAAGTTAAATTAAAAGTCACATGGTGAAGCAAACTATTACAAAGTTAAATTAAATAGGAAAAATGTGTTTAAGATTCATCAACACTTTTGAATATATTTTTAGTCAACGACTATTAAAAACGACATGTCCTTTAGGATTATATTAATAAATCTTTTTTTCCTCTTTCAATCAAATTAATACATATGCATTATATTTATTGGAAGGAATTGTAATTATATTACCCATTAATGATTTGTCAATTTCTTAATAGTAATAATATCCTCTTACATCTTATGAATAGACAGATCCAATGAAATTTCCTTTTCAGGAAGAAAGCATGATATTTCACTTTTCTATTTTAGTTTCAACCAATAATATATTCATGAATTTTCGATTTATCAGTTGTCGGTGTAAAAGTTATTTACAAATTATGTGTTATACTTCAAGTTCAAACAAGTTAATTAACTAGGGTTTGTTATATAAATTCTCATTGTAAATGTAACTAACGCATATACTTAGGTAAGCATGTACGTCTTGAAGTATTTTTTTTAATATTTGAATGTCTTCGTCGAACCGAATAGATTCTCATTAATCGACATACTAAAAATAAGGTGAAAGTCTAATCCTCTTTTAAATTTGTTGTACGATACTCCTTTCTTCGTATGATGCTCGTAGGCGAAAGGGAGATTTTCTTTTGCTCATGTAAGCAAAGATAAATCAGTATTTTCACGTTAAGGCCCTTTCATGAAAGAGGTCGAATAGTTTCTTTTATGAAAATTCATCATATATTAATTAATTTTATTTAATCAAGAATAGTAAAAATTAGTGGAAGAAAAGTTTGTCAAGTATAAACAGGACAAGGCTGCCTTAATAAATGAAAACAAAATAGTACTATTTTTCAACAATATATTAAATTAATTAATTAATTAATGTTCAAACAGGAACATTCCATTTTATTTATTTTATTTTTATATTTGTTGCCAAAAGCACCAACAAGACTAATTATACTATTCATTAGTGCTAATATAATGACATTTTTTCTATTTTATCTAATAATGCTTCTCCTCCTACATACATATCACTTTACGGCTACTAATAATTAATTTATCAACTATGTTCTTAGTCAAAAATTAGTTATATATATATCAATTTCAGTCGGTAAATTTATCAAAGACGAAATAATTCATTTACTATTATGAATAACTAGTTATAGAAAGACCGTTTCATTTCTTAAGATGATTCAATTTATTATCTTTTCTTGTGCCTATTTCGCGATAGGGGTTGATTAAATGTCGTAAGTTTTACTCATTCGTTGTTGTAATAATATGGTTAGGAATTAAGCAAAAAAAAATCTTACTCGTTGATATAAATTGAAGGGCATGTGGACTTTTCACTTTTCAGCTTAGATAAATTTTATGTTACGTCAATTTGAGATTCTCTCAATTAATTATACTTCTTTTAAGATATTTGTAAATCTATTTTATCCTTCTCTTTTATCCGAACTTGACATCACCTATTAAATTTTCTTAAACCTTATTATTCTATAATCAACTTGTACCACTATACATTTAAAAAGTTCATGACATAATTATTCAATTGAATCTAACAACCTAAGCCCACTTATATAACATTTCTTAATTTTCAATGTCCTCATTTTATTTATTTATATATTTTTTTCTTTGTAGTGATCTTAGGTTAAATTTCAACCCTATAAAACCTAATTTTAAGTCTATAGAGTCAAACACAACACATCTATTTGTAGTTGACCATGGCCCATGGATATAGTTAACTAGTCAACACAACAAGCTTCTAACAGTAGTACTTATTAGTTAATTAATAAATTAATTAATTAAGAGATTAAACTAAGCCAACTAGGTTTAATTAAACTAAACAAACATTGTTAAATATTAGTCTAATTGAACCTTTTTCAAAGTACATGAACTTTGATTAGCTAGCCTTTCTTTACGCGTAATTAGCTAATAGTAAGAGTTTATCCAACAACAACAACAATCTATTCAGTGTGATTTTACGAATAGGGTCTGAGGAGTGTGATGTATATGCAGCCTTACACTTACGTTGTAAAGATAGATAGGTTGTTTCTGATAGATCCACGACTCAAGTGAAGCATATCAAAATTAGTAAGAAAAGGAAATACAGTAATAAAGAAGTCAAGTAGCAAATAATGAGAAAAAGGGAGAGTTTATCATATTATTAATATGCATAAATATCTAAAGATATTATTGATGATGATGATTCGAACACAAATGTCAAAAGAAAATAATGAAATATTTAGTTCCTAACAGAGAAGAAAAATATGTTCAAATTGAAAGTCAACAAATTAAACTTTGTTATCTTTTGAAATTGAAATTGAAAAAAAAAAATCAATGGAAGATTTGGAGGGATATAATTAATAAAATTGCAATAAAACCTAATTGTAAATCTCAAATTTCATTATATATATTCTCTTACTATATAAGAGAGAGTTTCAAGTTGAAGCAGATACGTCTCCGTGGACGTGTCTGTTTTGGGCATTTTTGGATTTTTTTTTAAAAAAAATTCTTCTATTCTATTTGATTTAATTATTGTACAATTTTTCCTAAATTATGGGATCTGCTTTAGCTATCTTTAGTTATAGCTTTATTATTTTGAATGTCAGTAAAAAAATCAACATCGATGATGAAAAATATTTTAATCACGGACTTCTACACGCAAAATAAAATGAAATGATTTCATATTGTTCAATTAATACCACTTAAAAAATAAATTTGTGAACAAATATTGATCCCGTTCATAGCACAAAATTTTCGTAACTAGTATATATATAACTTCCACTAGAGATACTTCTTGGGTTAGTAAAACATCATATCAAAAAAGTTGGTCTACTTAATTCCAAACATATTTTTTTTCAACGAGTTCAAATTAATTTCAATAAAAGGTCTACTTTCGTAGCTATTTTTTCAACAACAAGTTTCTCAATGTTGAATTTTATAACAAAGTTATATCATTTCACAATAACGTGTAGGAGTATTATATTTTGTGTTAATGCTTATATACACTCTTCTTTCGAGCCGATGATTTATCGAAAAACAATATATGTGTATAATTTACTCTTTTCTTTTCAAATTCTACTTGTGGTATTACACTGAATAAATACATTATTGTTGTTACGAGTTTTAAAAGTGGGCCAAGAAGAGCTGAGTCCACTATTCATTTCTCAACTGTGGGTTGTGATACGAAATCTTCCTCGAACTTGATGCACAAATAGATAGAATAGTTTCTCGCCTACATATTCACGGAACTCAATCTCATTTAGAAAGCTTAATCTCTATCTTTCAGCAACATAACGAAAAGTGATTTAAGAATAAGAAAGGACTTTAGAATCGAACTTAAAATTTAATTCTATCAATAACATAAGAAAGTTGTCAAGATCATGGTGAATATGTGACATGTCTGTCTGCAACAAAATAGCATATTTCATTCCACTCAATCTCATTTAGAAAGCCTGATCTCTATCTTTCATCAACGGAACGAAAAGTGATTTAAAAATAAGAAAGGACTTAAGAATCGGACGCAAAATTCAAGTGTATGAATTTTCAACATAGATGACAGAACTCTGTACTTGCAAACAATATTTATACATTATCCTCAACTAAGTGATCAAAAATATGTAGTATCATTATGGCTCATGACTCTTCAGCTGGAAAAATTACACTCAAATCCAGTCCCTCTGCAGGTAGTTCCGAGGTCAACGGACCTAAAATCCCATCGGAGTTCAGAGTCAATCCGCTCTGCAAAGTTATAAAACAAAATGAGTTACATCCCACCAAGATATTCTAACCACGTGAAAATCTATGCTGCTCGGACTCTCCAAAACGTTGTTGCACCTGTGTTGGATCCTCCAAAAATGCACTACTTTTGGAGGATCCAACACGCAACCAGCAACATTTTTGAAGAATCCGAGACATAGATGAAAATAGGGAAATTTCGTTGAAGTTGTTTTTTTCCGAATGTGAAGCACCGGAAGATGTGAAGTATCCAACATTTCATTTACTACACCTCTATAGCCTACTAAAACTGCTTATATTCACTGGAATTACTCCCCTCCCCCCTTACTTAATCCACCCATAAAACTATATTGTTTCATCCTTGGCCAGGCTAAGTAAAAGTTCACTTGCTATAGAATGTAAAGACACATTGTGTGAAAGCGACTTTAGACGCTCATATAAGTAGGTAAATGATCCATTTAATCGAGAACCTATTAGAAGAATGACCGGTGCTATAGAAAACTTTTATCGAACTTGGTGCTAAGAGTCCAGAGGAATCACAGTATGAATTGCATAAATATTTGGGATTGTAATGGCAATTATTACCTCAGGCTGGAATTTCAGAATATCAGCACGAGCCATTGCTTCAGCTTGGGAAATTCTCTGCCTGAATGTCTGAGCCATCTCTTCAGCCTGTTGAAAAAATTACAAGCTTAGTCAAGAAATGTATCATAGCTGTTTAGGTCTAATGCTTTATTTATTTTCTGTATTATCTCAAATTAAAGTAAAACAAATATTGGCATACATGTCGTATCCAATGACATAGTAGTGATAAAGCGTGTCAAAAGAGTAAACCAATTTCGTAGATATTAATACGTTAAACAGATGCAAAGAACACATATGACCAATAGCAACGATTGCAGCAAGTAGCGTAACTACATCAAGAAATAATCTTGATCCAGTAAATTTGTATGAAGCATAGCCAAAGCAAAACTCACGCAAGTAGGCAAGATGTAAACCAAACATTATGATGATTGTAGTAAAAAATAAGATCTATTAATACCGGATGGAAAAAATGGTACCTTCTCAAAGACGAGCTTTGGATTGCGAATCATGTCACCAGGTGCAGGTTCTAGCTTCTTTGTAGAGAGGCTCACTCTACCTCTCTCACGGTCATGGCTCAATATCATGACCTATAACATAATTGAGCAGATGATTGTTAGTTTTCCTTGAAAGCAGATGAAGCTGGTACGAAATCAAGTAGTCTTTCCGATACAAACCTTCAGAGTGTCACCAGGCTGAAGGACGGTCACGATATCTGACACACGATCATGACTGATCTGGCTGACATGAAGAAGGCCATTGACCCCACCAATGTCGATGAAGGCACCATATGGTTTCAAGCTCTGAACAGTTCCAAGTACAACTGACCCAATTCCCAACTGTGTCTGACTATCAGCCATGGCCTTACGGTTGCTGAGTATAAGTCTAGTTTGCTCTTGATCAACCTCAACAAATTTCAGAGGAAGTTCCTTCTCCAAAAGCTCCTCTGCAGTTGATTTCTGGCACATTAAAAGAGATTAATAGTGAGTCCAATTTCGACGATAATAAGCTTTCCCACACTGAGAGAATAAGTACCGCTTTTTTTGTCAAGAACTAATTTTCGACGTGAAGCAAAAATTTTAAACTAGTAATAGCTAACTACAGATAGCAAATTTGGCTATCATTTTAAGTTTAAGCGGTTTGGTCAAACACGTTTAAATTGTACTTTTAAGTATAACTTTTAATAACTTTGAAGTTTGAAGAAACTAGAGTTTTTATTGTAAATTGAAACGAGTGACAACTAACCGAAAATATCTGTGAGAATGGAATAAACCCACGAAGGCCCTCGACCAATGCCACCACTCCACCTTTATTCGCACTAACCACCTGCAGTATCATCCAGAGGAACAGAAGTTAAGCCATGTGACAGAGTCTGGAGCTTTTGACATGCCACAATATCTGTTAAAGCATTCGTATTTTTATGCTATAGAACGATAGACAGAGAATTAAAGAAGCACATAATTTGGAAGCCAATACATACCTTACCTTTGACAACAACATCTTCAGCTTGAAGTTGTCTGCACCTTTCCCATGCCAGGTCATATTGAATTGACCGCAAACTCAATATCACACTATCATCAGCTTCATTTTCACCAATAACCACAAACTCGTCTCTGAAACCAGGAAATATTCCAGCTTCTTCCACATGCTTGATGCTGTAAATTGAAGCCTCTTGTATGGGCAAGTATGCTGATGATTTCGCTGTGATTTCAACTAAAGCTCCATTGGCATCTACGGAAAATACTGTCCCTTTGACCTAAAAAGAAGAAATATCGAGAAATTAAAATGCATTTGTTTCTTCCTTCACCTTGAGCAGAATAAGAAATATCCCCATAATCTCTCTGTGTTTTGAGATTTTTGACTAACAAGCAAAGGTTGATAAATAAATACATAACAGAATCTCGTGAAAGGAGCTCAAGCAAATTCGCAGCCCCAAAAAAAAATTGAGAGGAAATTATATACTTCCTCTATTCAATTACACGACTCTTTTCATCTTGGGACGTCCTGTCAAACTAACTTTCCTACAATTACTTCAATATTTTCTCGCACAATGACAAATAATAAAAATTATTGGAATTAAAATCATAAACTTCCTATGCCGTCTTTTGTGTCCCATAAAATGTGGCCCGTGTTACATTTTAGAAGGAATCCTTATATAGACATAGCAAATATGAAGAATCACGGCATTCGGATGTCAAAGAACATGCATATAGTTCTCCTTTCGTGCTTTTTCCAAATAGTCCAAGAATCTATTTTTAAGCACGAAGTCCAAGAAATATAAGTGATAGAAGTAATTCACTTATAAAAATAGCAATCTCAAATATCACAGACATAACAAACATGAAGAATCATGAAATCCGAATCCCTAAGAGCACACATATAGTTCTCCTTTCATGATTTCGCCGAATTTCCTCACAAAGGTGTTTAGGACACAATTCTCTTTTTTGGATGAAAATAATAACCCCCTATCAAAAGCTTCAGACATACAAATTGGTAGGCACAGAATTTACAAATACTCAATAGTGCAAGACTTCATTTTTAAGCACAAGTTACCAAAACAAAGTCATAGACATAATATAGCCCACAAAACAGAAAACTAAAAATCCAAAGCCTCTGAAATTCAAATCGGTGAGCACAGAAGTGTTAGATACATAGTGGTCCAAGAATCCATTTGTAAGCATAAGATTCCGAAAACAGAAGAGTTAACACATAATTCAGTCAAACAATAGCAACCTCAAATATTTAAAGCTTCTGGCATACAATTTAGTAGGCACAGAATTTACACCTACATAGCATAAGATTACGAAAATAAAAGTGTTAACATACAATTCAGTCAAAAAAATAGCAACTCCAAATATCCAAAGCTTCTGATAAACAAATTGGCAACCACAGGAATCTATGGATACATGGCAATCCAAGAATGCATCTTTAACCGAAGATTCTGAAAACAGAAGTGCTAAGACATAATTAAGCCACATAATAGCAACCCCATTATCCAAAATCTCCGAAATACAAATTGGTAAGCACAGAATCTAAAGATTCATGACAATCCAAGAATCCATCTTTAAGCCTTAGATTCTGAAAACAGAAGTGCTACAACATAATTAAGCCACATAACAGCAACCCCATCATCCAAAGTCTCCCAAATACAAATCGATAAGCACAGAATCTATAGATACATGGTAGTCCAAGAATCCATCTTTAATCCTAAGATTCTGAAAACAGAAGTGCTACAACATAACTAAGCCACATAACAGCAACCCCATCATCCAAAGTCTCCCAAATACAAATCGGTAAGCGCATCTATAGAAACATGACAAATCAAGAATCCATCTTTAAGCCTAGTATTCCCAAAACAGAAGTGCTACAACATAATTAAGCTTCATAACAGCAACCCCATCATCCAAAAATCTTCAAAAATACAAATTGGTAAGCACAGAATGTATAGATACATGACAATCCAAGAATCCATCTTTAAGCCTAAGATTCTAAAACAGAAGTGCTACAACATAATTAAGCCACATAACAGCAACCTCATCATCCAAAATCTCCAAAATATAAATTGATAAACACATAATCTATAGATACATGACATATCAAGAATCCATCTTTAAGCCTAAGATTCTAGAAATAGAAGTGCTACAACACAATTAAGCCACATAGCAGCAACCCCATCATCCAAAACCTCCTAAATACAAATTGATAAGCACAGATTTTGAAATATACAACACCATAGACATAATCTAGCCACATAACAACAACCCCATCATCCAAAATCTCCCAAATACAAATCCATAAGCACAGAAAATCAAACATATAATGAGCTAACCTTGGTACCTAATTCTGAGTCAAAATCATATTTTTCAAGGGCAGAATGAAAATCTTCAACAGTGAAAGCTACACCTTCCATAGGAGCTGTACGGCATCTTTCATAAGCTTCTTCAAACATCTCCTTAAGCTTGATTCTCTCTCTTGTTTGTGCATTTGTAGTCGCCACTGCCCCAGTTCGAGACACAATCTTTTGCTTTGTATGAATAATAATGGGATTTACAAGATTCTTATTGGATTGAATAATTCTTGTTGTTGAAATTGGTGAACACTTTAATCCAACAAATTGATGTGCTAAAGATCCCATTTTTTTTGTTTGGGTGCTTTGAGGGTTCTTTTAGGGGTTTTAGAGGAAAGTCAGTGTTTTGAGAGTTACACCATGGATTTTGTGGGGTAGATAAAGTGAGCTAGAGGACAAGGGAAGCTTCAAAATTGAGTTTTTTTACCCTTCTTTTTCCGACTCGAACTCGAACTCATAATATTAAGATTTGAGGTGAAGCTACTTACGACCTAAACAGCCCCTCTTGTCAAACTTTAAAATTGAGCTTTTTTTTTTCATTTTCCGACTCGAACCCATAATATTAAGATTTGAGGTGAAGTTAATTATGATCCGAATAACCCTTCTTGTCAAACCTCAAAATTGAGCTTGATTGGTGTTTCGTGGATTTTAGTAATCTCTATAATTTATATTACTTGTTAAAGTTAATCAAATATAAAATATATCTCAAAATATTTGTCACTTTATGAAATTAACTGGTTTTATACCATCACGCCTTTAACTTTTAAGTGATTTTAAAAGTAATTAATATGATTACCTAGCAAAAAATTATAAATTTAAAGAGTTCAAACAAGATAATTATTATTTGACATTAATCATTAAGATACAAGTAATATGAAACGAGACAAAGGGAATAATTTATTGATCCAAACTTCTAACGTATGACATATTTAGATCATGCCACAAAGTCTAAGGATAAATGTAGATCATTTCCCTATCTTGCTAAGTGAAAAAAGAAAGATTAATCTCGTAATCTTAAATATAACATATGAAATCTCAAAACTAAAGACATACATTATTTTATTAAACAGACTACAAAAAAGTAAGACAGACAAATTAAAAAGTACTACTATTTAAACATAGTACTACATGTTACATTTTTTGTCCTTCCAACACAAGATTACAAATTTCCCAAAGGATCCTAAGAAGATGTAGAACATCTTGACTAGTTTGTTTAAGGAAAGAAGGTTCATCAAATGGTGGTTCAATGAACATGTTATCACAGTTCTTGATAATTGTTTGAGCATATAATATCTTAACTTTACAATGTTGATAATCTCCATCATTAGTACATCCCATAATCTTGTCAATAACATTATAGTATGTGTCAAAACAAAAACCAAGTCTTGTTCTTTGATTGAAGTTCTTTTGTTGGTGAATAGATGAGTACATCTCAAACCTAGCTATACCAGAAGAATCTTGAATTCTTGACATAATAGCATTGCTTAGATCTGTGATGTTGTCTTGTTTAATGTTGGGGTCTGTTCTTAGGATCCATGAACAATGGTAAGCTTGGTCTGTTTTGGAACAAATATCATCAATTAGATCACCTTTGACATGATGGCTTGTGTTGGTGAAGAGTATAAACATGAACATGGTAGATAAGAGAAAAGCTAATGTGAAAGAAGATGAAGAAGACATTTTGATATTGTTAGGGATGTTTGGGAAGAGTGTTGTTTTTATACCTAGGAAACATAAGTTCACTTTTGGAGGTATTCATTTGGTCTCATTTTGGTCAAAGTATATGTAACTACCCATATTTAATGAAAGTCTTAGATTATATGGTCTTTATGACAATTGTCTAGAGCTTTATTAGAGTCCGGAGTAAAAAAGACCACTTTTTTTCATTAAAATGCAAAGAAGGGCTACTTGTTTTGTGAATAAATAAAAATGGACAAATCGCTCAATCTTATTTTGCAAAAAGGGCTCAACCTTGGGCCACTTGTTTTCACTAAACCTTGAGCAAGTTAAATCAAAAAGACATCTCGCTCAACCTTGAGCGATTTATCCGTTTTGGTTAATTAGCAAAACAAGTGGCTTTTTTTTACATTTTAGTGGGAAAAAAAAAAATTGGCTTCAGACTCTAAAAAACTCACTTGAACGGCCAAAACTCAATTTTTTTTTTGTGTGAAGGCTTTCTAGTGAAAACTAGTGAGTGGCTTTCCTCTTCTCATTTTTCTTTTGCTATATTTTCTATCAGTCTAAATTTTATACTAGAAGAATTCGTTGAATCTTAAAAGATACACACCTATTACACCAGGTGAAATATCCTTAAGAATAGTATCATAAACACACCTCAAACTACACCAGGTGAAATATCCTTAAGAATCTATATCTATCTATATTACCTTAAAAGTATGAACTTCTAACTTGAATGTTAAATTACTAAAATATCCCTAACTTAGGTTGTGACTTTTTCAATAAATCGTGACTTTTTCGATAAGTTGTGATTTTTTTCAAATAGTTATGATTTTTCGTTGAGTTCTGACTTTTTCAATAAGCTGTGACTTTTCCAAAGGGTTGTGACTTCTCGAAATATCATTACTTTTCAGATAAGAGACAAAAAATATTTGTTTATGTTACCCTTTGTTGATTATAAATATAGGAGTTTCCTCTCATTTGTAAACCACCATTTTTTTTTAATCTTTTACTCTTATTCTTCTTGCGTATAATTTTTTTTTGTGATTTATTATTGTTGAGTGAGTTCAAAGGTTAACGAAATATAAGGTACCACTATTCGGATGAAGTAAATTGTTCTATCCTAAGAGGGTATATTCCATAACCTCGAGTACTTGAGAAAAATAATTTTGATGATGAAATAATTATTTTTTTGCTTAATATATACATTAGTTTGTAATGTTCTAATATATGGAGTTAACATGATCTAGTCTAAATTTATTTATTTTTATTAACAATTTCTCTTGTGATGTAGATATATGCTTCTGATATCTTTCTCAAAAATTTAGTGTCATGATTTGTTTTTTTATGCTCAAGACAAAATAATGACTTTATTTATCAATGTTACTTATGTGATTTACATTGTCATGAAATTTGCTTCAAAATATTTATTACTATATAAACTGTCACGACCCAGACCATCGTGATTGACACCCACACTAACCCTTCGGTGGGAGAACCACTACTACAATCCAAACCAAGCAACTAAACCAAAACTAAAACATTTAAGTTACAGAAGCAAGTTAAATAGCTAAAAGCTGAAATTCCCATAAACTTCCAAAAGATCTAACAACTAAACAATGTGGAAAAATATGCTTAGAACCTGAAAATCAAGTATCAAAACATCTAAAGTTCAATAAGTATAAACAAGAAGAGATACAACCATGAACTAATGAACTAACAACTAACTAGAAAAGTCTAAGTCCGAAATGTGGACAAAGACGAAATGAGAACTCATGGCAGCCCAGAAGAACTGGTTCACCCTTGAATTTGAATGACGATCATTGATCTTCTAAGCGAGGTCTGTCAATAGCCGCCTGAAGATGTCATGTACTCAACAAAGAAACAGCAAGTGCAGTATCAGTACACAACCACATTGTACTGGTAGGATCACACGACTATCCCACTAAGTGTAACATACATAATTAAATACAACAATATAATCACATGTATATATCAAGCATATACAATATTATCAACATTTACGAACAACGAACAACTTCACATTTCTCAATATACACAATTATGACAAGTCATTGGCCCTATCATGGAACCCAAATCCAAATAGTTAACATACTAGAACGTGGTACCCGATCCAATGATTATGCCGAAATGTGGCAACCAATCCCATATTTATGTTAGAATGTGGCAATCGATCGAAGTTAGTGTGTCGGAACGCAACACCTGATCCATTCAACAAGCCACAATCACAATCACAACCTACATTCTCATAATCTTACAATCAAGTCATGGTTCATGACATTCATCATCCATATGTCCTCATTTACAATTAATGTGATCAATAATGCAACATTCGCATACATACATGTATTATAATAAAGCAAGAAGAAGCATACATCACACAATAATAGAATTACAATCATCACCTACCTCGTAACAAGTTTGAAACCCTAAAAAACTTGATTCTTCCCTTTCCGGATTCGTTCTACTTGTTCTTGGTCTACAAATAATCAATATAACACAAGAATCAATAAACAAACACTAATTACCCGAATTACTAACAATTCTATCACCCTAAATCATATTCATGATCCCACTATCCAAATTAGGGTTTTTTTCACCATAAATTTCATATCAAAACCTTCCCCAGTCGATAATTGCTCATTAGATTACGTTCTACAGATCGAAAAATGAATTCGAGAAATTAAAATCTTACTATTAGCCATATGAATAGTGGAAAAAGTGTCAAGAATCGCCTAAGGTTCGTCTCCTTACTCTAAAAATCAAAAAGTGCAGAATAAAGAGGTTTTGGGGTTTATTTTCGACTTAAGTCGCGTTGGGACCGCAACATCAGTCTTCACTCCGCTACAACGGCCCCACCCTGGAGACAGAAATCACCGCCAAAGCGGCTTGCACGAAACAATAAGCTATTTTAATGATTCCAATACCCCTATTTCACACCACATCTTCAACCAACGACACTCAGAAACTACCCGTTAACGCTAAGATTAATTTTGGGAGTTCTACTCATCCGAATTTAACTCCATAAAGTCGTACAGGTTTCTTAACGAATTATCTATCTACTCATGTGATCAAATTCATAATTAGATCACCTAATTGCTATCAGATTTTCCTAGATTTTAATGATTCTGATTTCGTCCAAAACTGAACTAGGTTGGACAAATCCAAATATTACGAAAAAGTTTTTCGGCCTAAATTTTTTCCTCGTTTGCTTTCCTATAATGACGGAAAAAGGTAATTGCATAAACATTGCCCTTTTGTTATACTTATTTATTATTTCTTAATATTTTAGTATTTAAACGAAGAAAAGTTCATATGACTTGTAATAACGCAAGTTGAAGTTTGTATTAGTTTATTTATATTATTTATTTAATAACTAATTTTTATGAGACATATATTTTCATTAATGCAAATATATATTTATATTTGGATAGGTATTTGTATTTAAATTAAAGTATTATATATGTCACGAATGTATTAATTAGTTAATAAGATCTTCTAACTTCAAAATATATTATTTTAAAATGTTATGAGTAATTTTTTTTTTCAAAAAAAAACTCACAAAAAATGTGAATATATATGAATCATTTAAAATTTATCATTTACAAAGTAAACTTTATATTCAGTAATATGGAATAAACATTTACATTTTGTCTCTAAACTAAATTAAAATCTAATAACTATAAAAAAAACAATAACATTAATTAAAAGTCCTATTTATTTATGTACGTATAAAATTTATTAGAATTCAGCTATTGCACATTAATTCTTTAGTTATATCATTATAAATTCTCTTAGTTATTACTAATTAATGCAAACGTTATTCACACTATTTTACATTCTTAGGTAATCACGTGCAACACACGTGTCAAAAAACTAGTGGAACAAAAATGTGTCACGAATTCACAAAAGAAACGTCCCTAAAAGTTAATATTCGTGGCAATTAAAACCGCCACTAAATTATATAACAATTGCCGCTAAAAAATTGTAATAACGGCAACTAAAACAACCACTAAATCATTAAACTAATGCCGCAAAAAGAGAGTATTAGTGGCGATTATAGTTGCCACTAATACTATCTCTTAGCAGCGACTTTTATAGGTATTAGTGGCAATTTTAGTTGCCACTAATTCATACTTTTAGCGGCAACTTTTATAGGCATTAGTGACGATTTTAGTTGCCACTACTACATACTTTAGCGGTAACTTTTATAGGCATTAGTGACGATTTTAGTTGCCACTGCTACATACTTTTAGCGGCAACTTTTATAAGTATTAGTGGCGATTTTAGTTGCCACTACAACATACTTTTAGCGGCAACTTTTATAGATATTAGTGGCAATTTTAGTTGCCACTACAACATACTTTTAGCGGCAGCTTTTATAGGTATTAGTGGCGATTTTAGTTACCACTAATACATACTCTTAGCGGCAACTTTTATAGGTAGTGACGATTTTAGTTGACACTAATACATATGTTTACCGACGACTTCTATAGGTATTAGTGGCGATTTTAGTTGCCACTACAACATACTTTTAGCGGCAACTTTTATAGTTATTAGTGGCGATTTTAGTTGCCACCAATACATACTTTTAAGGTGACTTTTATAGGTATTAGTGGTGAATTTAAATGCCGAATACATACTTTTCGCGGCGACATTTATAGGTATTAGTGACGATTTTAGTTGCCACTAATACATACTTTTAGTGGCGACTTTTATAGTTATTAGTGACGATTTAAGTTGCCACTACTACATACTTTAGCGGCGACTTTTATAGTTATTAGTGGCGATTTTAGTTGACACTAATAGATACCATTCGCGGCGACTTTTGTAGGTATTAGTGGCGATTTTAGTTGCCACTAATAGGTACCTTTCGCGGCGACTTTTATAGGTATTAGTGGCGATTTTAGTTGCCACTAATAGGTACCTTTCGCGGCGACTTTTATAGGTATTAGTGGCGATTTTAGTTGCCACTAATAGGTACCTTTCGCGGCGACTTTTATAGGTATTAGTGGCGATTTTAGTTGCCACCAATACATACTTTTAGCGGCGACTTTTATAGGTATTAGTACGATTTTAGTTGCCACTAATACATACTTTAGTGGCAACTTTTATAGGTATTAGTGGCCATTTTAGTTGCCAGTAATAGATACCTTCACGGCGACTTTTATAGGAATACTAGATATAGGACCCCGTGCCAGCACGGGGCCCAATATATATATATTTTTTAATTTTAATTTATGTCATATTATGAAATTTGAGAAGTTATTGAAATTTTTATATGATTTTAAAAATATTTTAAATTGTTAGCTATTGTGATTTGTAGTACTTTTTTTTAACATAATTTTGAAAAAAATATTTATTACTCTGTTTGTTCTAATTTATGTGGCACACGCAGAATTTCAAATATTAACCATTTTTTATATGTCTCTTTAATATATTAAGTTGTTAATTATTGTATTTTATAGTACATTTTGAACCTAATTTTTTAATAATATATGTTATTTGCCATGTCCCAATTTATGTGGCATTAATTGATAGATTTGTTGGAGTCGAGAGATTTATTTTATTAATTATTGTAATTTATAATTTGTTTTTCGTCAATTTCGTCAACTATTTTTTTTTATTAATTATTGTAATTTATTGTTTCTTTTTCGTCAATTT